TTTTTTTTTTTTTTATTTTTTTTTTTTTTCCCCGGCGAAAGTCTGCATGATTTAATTTTTTTTTTTTTTTTTTATAAAAAATATTTTTTTAAAAAAAAAAAAAAAAAAAAAAAAAAAAAAAAAAAAAAAAACAAACCAATTCAATGCGTGAACATACGGTCTCTTTTTTATTTTATAAAAACTCGTTTCGAAACTCGTTAAATGTTCCTAATGTAAAAATTCATCATAATAACAATAAGCATAATCATCAATGTCATCATTATCATCATCGCCGTTGTTGTCATCTCTTTTCCCTATTAGTATTAGTATTGCGAAATATTATTTTCTACGAGTCATCATCATTTTCTAAGATTAATGGTTTTACTTTTTTTTTTTTCCCCGCACTTATGTAATTTTTGTTTATAATATGCATTTACTTATTTATCAACGATCAATTCTTGGTTAAACCAAACCTTGATAACAAAAAAAACTTTATTTAGTCTCATTATATCATTATAACTCTAAAGTTTAAATTCGTTTGGTCTTCGTTTGTTAAATATAGATAACCTAATGCGTGCGCGTGTACGTGTGGAATGTCCTTTCCTTAATCAGGAGATTGATTTATTTTGCCAAATAAACGGCCGAACCCCGACTGATTGATTAATTGATTAATTGATTAACACCAACTTTAATCTGCAAACATCACTACCACGCATACATGTACACGGATTACAAATATCTCCTCCCCGTGCTATATGTGTATATATGTTACAATCATCAACTTTCAGTGATTATTATTAACACACACCAATCAATCAATCATCTCATTTGTCGTCCTAATTATTAATCAATCACATGATCTTTAGTTTGACAAGTTTGACAGATTGATATGGCTTACCCCGCAATTTCAATTATCCATAAATGTAACAAGAACCAATTAATTTAATTTTTGGTTAATCTTTATTATGTTTCTCTCACCTTCAAACAAAAACACACAAACCATTTCTATTTTTAAATATTAATATTAATATTATTAATATTATTACTATTATTACTATTATTACTATTATTACTATTATTGCTATTGCTATTATTGCTATTATTAGTGTTATTTTTTATCCGCGGGAATCCCCCACCACATTTCATTACTATTTATTATTTTTCCTTAAACATTTTTTTAATATTAAAAAAAAAAAAAAAAAAAAAAAAAAAAAAAAAAAAACAAACCAATTCAATGCGTGAACATACGGTCTCTTTTTTATTTTATAAAAACTCGTTTCGAAACTCGTTAAATGTTCCTAATGTAAAAATTCATCATAATAACAATAAGCATAATCATCAATGTCATCATTATCATCATCGCCGTTGTTGTCATCTCTTTTCCCTATTAGTATTAGTATTGCGAAATATTATTTTCTACGAGTCATCATCATTTTCTAAGATTAATGGTTTTACTTTTTTTTTTTTCCCCGCACTTATGTAATTTTTGTTTATAACACTGAATATAAACAAATAATATATATATGCGCACATTTGTTATCCATTCTTTGTTGGTAAAGATGGTTTTTTTTGGTAATAAGGGGATAAAAAGGACCAATTACTAAGGAAAGATAAATTTAAAGTTTTTGTAATTGAGCAAAATAACAAATTTAAAAGGATTTTCAGGGTTTAAGGAATTTTTGAAAAGATTTTCTTGGACCCTTTTTTATTATTTCATCCAATAAACAGCACATTCATTCACATTCACGCTTAGTAAAAAAAAAAAATTAAAATAATTAGTAATGGTCGTCATTATGAGTAATCCTGTTTTATTCGGGTCACACATACACTTTTTAAACCAGGAAGTTAACAATTATAGCATTATCATTATGATAATTAAATAAATGGATAAATTATTAACCAACTTATTCTTTGGAACCTCGTGGTTTTTTTTGGGAACGGAATGGAGAAAATAATTCGCCACCTCGGGTCGTGATTGGTACATATTTTTTTTTTTATT